AAGTAATAAATAAGAACTACTAATGGCAAAAATAATTTAAATTAAATATACACATATATATAAATATGTATAATAATAAAAAAATAAAAAGTTCTATGTAGAAATGCATGTGTATTAATTTTATGTATATCAATTACTAATTAGAAATTGAATAAGGTAACAGTAAATTACTATTTAAAAAAGTTCAATTCATGCAGATTATGACAATAATATTTATCAAAATAGTAATTTAGTAAGTGATTTTTTTTTCAATTCTTTAAAGTTAAGAGTGATTTTTAAAAGCATACAATTTGATAAACACACTAATCTTAAAATATTTGTTGATTGTTGTACCAAATTTCTATTAACAATAAAGTAAAAAAAAATGAAAATTGAAATAAATTATAAAAATTATTTAAGATTTATTTTTAATGTGTTTTGAAAGATTATATTCTAATTATTGTTTAAATTCAGGACACAACAACAAAAAATTATTGATGAAAACAAATAATAATTAAATATTCAGTAATATTAATAAACATTTTGTGCACTTGCATAAACTGGATGATTATAATCATTTTAAAAGGCAAAGGAATATTTAAATACTTAGAAAAACTGTAATTATAATATTTTCTGGCTATAATAATATGTTTAGTGAGTTATTCAAAATAAATAAAAGAATTAACTTATTATTATCATTTAAATTTTTTTTTGTATTTTTTTGTTAAGCTACATTAATTTTTAGTGCTCGATATATTCGTTACGTAATGTTTGAAACTTTTTTGGGTGACGTTTTACCCCCATCTTAGAAATTGGCCCATTAATGTTAATGCAGGCTGAATGATATTTAATGCAGGCCAGATGATATGGTAATGCAGGCCAAATAATCTTATATTAAAAATCCCGCGCGGGATCCAAAAAAAACCCGCGCGTGGCCCATCTCTACTGTACATGATTTAAAAATTGTAATTCTTTGATAGTCTATTAAAGAAAAGGAATATTGTATAGTTGCCTGTGAATTAGTTTTAGGAAAAAAAGCAATTACGGCACTGGACAATGATTTTGTAGTATGCCGTAATGACGTATTGCTATATGGCCGTAACGCCATATTGGCGATGAACTTACAATATTAGGTGTTGTCAATGAAAAATTATACTTCAGCTTGTAGGTTAGTTTCTTGTTGGACCCTACTGCTATAACATTTGATATACTTTAGTCTAATAAATTATAAACTTTGAGGCCCGAAGGTAGGTATGTTTAGGCAGTGCTTACTTTCAAAATTTAATTGCAAAGTTCACAATAATAGGTCGAATATATTTTGATCTATTAACAAAATTCATTTTGGCTGAGTTTTTTGAATTACTCAAATTCGACATAGTGCATACTAGCTTTGCTACAAGAAATTCAGCACGAGATATACATATATATTCAGTTAGAACAAAATATTTAATATTCTCAAATGATCAATACGCACCTTAACATAACGATAATATTCATAGCTATTTTGGGATAGAACTAGTGACGGGCTTTGCAAGATTCAAGATTTAAAGACGTACGATTTACAAATGACCTTCACATATAGTAATTCTAACTCCAGTTAGTCTGTATTACGCAAGTGGGAAAAATAGGTAACGCCTAATAATATATGATCAACAGTGTCATGCACAGACACATTTGAAATGCCTGTAAATTTTGCGTCATTAACATTTTTGAGACCTGACTTTGAAATTTGATTGGCTTTATGGATTTTAAAATTAAAATTATCTACTATAATAAATTTTTTTTCACATAAAAATAAAAGGATCCACATATTTGTAGTGATGCTTGAACCCGTCTGAAAATTCGCAATCAGGGTAAATTCGTGGGTTACCCGGGTGGACAATTCAAAAAACACGGGCAGCAAGAAATGCACAATATAAGCCATAGTAATAGCACTCATTACACACTGACCGGGTTATCATGTGATGGTATGGAAATCGAACTACTGATATTACTGTATTAGTTTATGTAAATAATTAGGATAGGCTGCGCATTAAAACCATAAATGTGATAAAATTAGATTTTACAATATGTACATAAGGTATAACACTACAATTCATATACTGTTTTTTTTTTTTACTTATTCCAATTGTCGCAGCTAATGCTAATTCTGGGATTTGAGGTCTCCATTTAAATCTACTAAAAAATACTCTTTTATAATTCCAGCCAGTGCACAAAATTCTACTGTAAAATACCGGAGATTCCGGTTTAACAGAAAAAAATTCGATTCATTTTTTCGATGATCGGAATTTATCCGCTCGTTCAGAATTTAAACATTCATACAACATATCTGACTGTTACTATCGATATCGTTACTACCTCCGGCTATAGATCCTAAATTCCGTTTAATAAAAAGATCGCTGGAAAATATCGGGATACGTCATGCCACAATTTTGTGCACTGATTCCGGTCTTAATCCCTGATTCAAAAACAACAATAATAAAAATAAATTCACTTAAAAAATTTCTTATTAAAATAAGTTCAATTTCATCTGATATCAGCATCAGCTACGACACTAATTTACTTATAAATTTTTATTTATTAGAGAAAGTATAAACTCTAACATGGATCCGCTTTACTTCATCGACGATATTGCTAACTTTATTTAAATTCTGGTCATGGCTTTCAAGAACTCAGATTGCAATTCTCTGAATTACGATTACAAAAATGATTACAATTAGAATCGCTTGAATGATATTACCGTAATAATATATATATATGCATAATAAATCATCATTCGTACTGTAAATACGTATGCTCATACAAATTATGAAAAATCAAAATATAGCCTGCTACACATAGATGAAACCCTATATGCAAATTAGGAAAATCAAGTGCATATAGATAGTTAAGCCCCATATTCAATTTTTAATTACATAACTACAGTAGTTTGTAAAATAGTGCAATAAGCCCGCATCTAATAAATATATAAATAAGTAATCATACGATGCATATAAAAAGAAATATCCAGCACGTATTTGTACAGAAACATTTGACTTGTCGCTTAACCATACACTCCGTTTCTGGTATCATTTCTATATTATGGAAAGATGTTCTTGTGAAATTTTTATACTCCAACAAATTTTGAAAATGTTACTTCCAATTGCGAATATAGATAGACATTGCATTATTTGATAACCAAGTGTTCAACAAATCATTTTATCTGAAAATGCATCTAGAATGCTTTCTGTTTTAGAAATGTTAATATGTAATATTGACCGCAAAATTAATTATGAAATATCTATCAAAGACTATATCTCATAGCAAATAGAATTATCTATTTTGACAGAAAATGCAAAGTTTTGTGGAATGTTCAGCTCTAATTTGCAACTCAAATACTTGATTAGTTTATGTGAAATGGTAGAGAACAAGAAGAAATTCACTTTTAATAATCTTCAATCAAATTATAAAAAATCCTTTATCACAGTTAATGAAGATCAAAATCCTTAAAGTTTTGCTTTAAAAACTCTAGGCATCAAATTTTTGCCTGCGACCTATTGATTGCATTGAAACGATTTATAGTTAGCTACCTGATAGCAAAGTCTTTAGAACATACATTTAAACTAAAAAATGATATAACTAACGAGGATTTGGGTTGTTTTCTTTGGATAGTACTCTAAAAATTAAAAAAAAGTTGGTCAAACATATATTTTTTATGTATTTATAAATTCTAAACAACAATTACTAGGTATAGTAATTAATAAGACATATAAACGATGAGATATCAATGCAAACCATCTTAAAAGTATATAATATTCTTAAATATTTCGAAAGCAATTGTTGGTAATGCAAGAATGGTTTTTAAACTAGGTAAAATATCAAAGCAAAAATGCATAACGCAAGTAGGATTATTTAAAAGTAATAAATATATTTGAAGTTATTATTAGAATGTATGTCAGTACTAAGGCTTCGTATTTGTTTTTTCTTTATTTTTCTTTTAATTGTTCTGTCATTTTATATTAGTTATCACATAAATTTGATTATTATTAAGTTCGTTTATGCAATACAGGAATGTTAATATATCATTGCTTTCATCATATTATTATTTGTACTTTTTTTTATGTGTCCGTATCTAAATTCGATAAACATTTTATTTTTGAGTAATGATATATCTGTGCATTTCCAAGATGACAAACAAAATGCTAAATGAAACTCTTGTATTCAAAATATGAATAGTAGTATATAAAACTCTGAGCATTGTATTTAATAGATTTCTTTTTAGAATTCATGTTTATCTATGAATAAATTTTTTGATGCAGGATGCAGTTGGTGCACACTATAACAAAATGAATACCAATTAAAATTAGAATTCGAATTAAGGTGGGAGTGGGATAAAATTGTGAGAGGAACATTTTTATTTGTTATACGACAGGGCTAGCACAGTAAAATATTGAGATATTGAAAAGGTACCTTTTTTAAAATCTATTTAATTAAAATTATTCAAAAATTTTTTATAACTATGTTATAACCAGTATATAATTTTTATAAATAAGTTTTAAATTAAAACTATAGATTTAAAAACAATTAATAATGATAATGATACTATAACGATAATATAACAAAACTTTGAAATCAACCCATGTAGTTGATTATATTTTTTTTAGTAATATTCTAATTTAGTAAATTAAGATATAATAACAATAAAAGAAACTATGCAAAGTAAAGATAAATAAGATAAAAAAACAAATAACAAAAATGAAAATAAAAGAAATTTCCAATTATAAAAAAGATTATTTACAATTTAGGTAATAAATTTTTCATAAAAGATTCTATTTATAAAATGCCTATAAAGAAAATTGTACTGACATTACCAAATTAATTATCATAAAGAATTTAATCTACTATATTAGGATTAAGATTAGGCTATTCAATATAAATAAAAATAAACTTCTATAAAAGAACGAATAATTTTATAATAAGATCAATTCGATTCATTCCTTAGAGCCGTAAAATGTAAAAAAAAACTAATGATCTTTTTGGTATTACTTTTGACAATATGGAACACGTAAAAATCTGTTTGGAGATGTACTAATGTTACCAGTTACTGCATCTTTTGTCGATAAATTATTAAGTTCTACCTTCATTTGCGCTGGAGATTTATTTCCGATATATGAAATTATTAAAGCAACTGTTCCTGCGACTGAATAATAGAAAACTCGGAATGAATCCTAATTTATATATAATTTTTGCTTAATACAAAAATTATAATTACAAACCATGAGGAGTTGCTTGACTAGTTCCTGAATACGATGATAAAGCGGTAGAAGACTGCCTTCCTGCTGCTTGGATGTTTGTACCTAGTAATAAAAATAAGAATTAATTAATGTTGATCCAAAAGTATTTCTTGTAATTATGGCGAATTTATAGAATTATATTTTTGGTTAGAATTTTTAATTTTAAAATATAAATACTTTTCAACAACATAAATTAATAGAATTTTTTTTTAAAAAAATATCTGCTTATAGCTAAATTCGAGTATTTAAATTCCATGAATACGCCGTAAATGTAACATCCAAAATTTTATTACCTGGAGCAAAGATACAGACGCAAGAACCAAAGTTTGAGAAACTTGCAATAGCATCTGTACTAGTGTTCGTAGCACCAACTGCAATAGCATCAGGTGCTGATGCTGGTGAAAAAGTACAAGCATCCGTTGCACTATTTCCCGCAGCGACAACGACATGAACACCCTTTTTAACAAGTTCTTCAACTGCATTATTTGTAATTTGTGAAAAGCCACCACCTAGAGACATACTATAAAATATATATCAAGTTTATTACAGCAGCAAATAAATATATAAACGCAGAGATTTATATTTGGATAGAATATTACTTGACCACTGTATTCTTGTTAGAGCTATTAGTATGTTGGTTTCCTATGTAGGTTAATGATTCAATGATATCACTGTACTGGCAGCTACCCGTAGCATTGCAAACCTTAATGGATATTATAGATGCATTTTTGGCTACTCCATAGTGAGCTCCTGAAGCCATTTTTAAAATGCAAAATAAGTACCAAGGAATTCCTCAATAAACATTTTGATAACTTTTATTACCTCCAACCTATTAATATAATCATTATATTTAAATTTGTTAGTAAATTACTATATAAAATAAGTACTTTTGCAGTCATATTTAGTATGTAAAAATATATAAGATCAAAACTAAAATAAATATTATGGCATTGATACAATACTTACAATCCCTGCAACATTTGTTCCGTGACTTTTTTTTTAAAAAAAAAATTTTTATTAAATTATTTTATTTATTATAAATAGAATAAGAGTGAAGTGAAAATAAAAAATTAATACCCATTATCATCAATGTTCGGACATTCACCACAGTAAGCAGGTCCGCGTGTTGCTCTTCCTTCAAATTCTTCATGATCTATATTAATACCTCTGCATGATGAGGAAATAATTGTTGTAATAATTTTAACTAAATAATACGGTATTTATGTAATAACTTACGTATCAACAATATAAACATTTACTCCTGAACCGCAAGAATTTGGATATGTATATTTTCCATCTAATTTGGGGGTTGCTTGATCAATACGATCCAGATTCTAAAAAATAGATAATTAAACTTATTTACTTAGGATATTTCAAATAAAAATATTTATACAGTGTTCCAAAATTTTCTAAAATTTCAAAATATTAATTAAAATTACTCATACATATGGAGCAAGAGATTCTGTCAAAAAATGATGACAGAGATTAAAATCTTTAATAGGACTGGGAGTAATATTTGTTCCAATAGGAGAAAAAATATTAGCAGTTTTGTCATTTTCGATATGAATAACTCCGGGTGAATTAGTCAATACAGCAGCTTCACTAGGGCTAAACTTTCCGACGTAGGAAATGAATGATCCAAAACTGACAATTTTTATAATGGTATGATCAATCAATTGACCAATCTTGTCACTAATATCTTTATTAAAACAAGATTTTAAAAAAGCATAGTGATCATTTGCTTTTTCCGGTGATGAAAGTTGAACAATGAAAGTTTTCAGGTCTTCTTTAGAACTTGGTGTTGAAGGACAATTGAATTGTGATTCAACCAATGTTATTATGCAAATAATAAAACCGAAAATTGAGATAATTTTAGAAAAAAGTGAAATAACAACCATATTTAATTTTTATTAAAAGAGAGCAAAGGGTAAGGATGATTGATAACGGATGCCTAGAATGAGACAACGAGGGAGTGTAAAGAAGGTATGAGTATTTACGTCATATATGTACGTACGTACGTACGCACGCACGTACAGGTAAAATATAAGATTTTTAATGTTTCATGGCAGTGTTCGTGCAGCGTTTATATTATAGTCGAACGCAAAATCTATATTTATACAGTTTATTACAACCAACGATAACAATTATTATTATTTTCAAAATAGGCATTAGGTATATGCAGTGCTATTGGTTATATTAAATGAAATTACAAAGATGCATAAATGTTTATAGTTCTGTGGGTCTTTTTTATGTGTAACTAGAGGATGCAGATATGCGCGACTTTGCCGCCCGGTTAAAATTGTTATAATATTATTTTTTAAAAGAAAAAAAAATATCGCTTAAATTTGAGATTATATAAGTAGATTTAGATACATTTAAAAAATTTTAATTAAGATAGTATGTTGTTTTATTCGATATTTATTTTTTCAAGATATTCGGATATGGGATTCAACGGTTTAAATATAGGATAATAAATGTGTTTTAGGTATAGGTTAGACTGGAGCTAGTTATGTATATAATTTTTGATCATGATATCATGATTTGTAGGGAGTCATTAGCTGAGTTTCGGTTCAGCTCACTTCATTGACACTCATTTCGTAAACATAACATTTTATTGACAATAATTCATCGAAAAGCATAGGTGTACTTTGGTCATGTGATTGGAAGAATTCCGGACAGCTAAAGGTGCCGGAAATAAATTCAATGAAAGGACTTTAAGTTCGCAGAATACATTGAAATGGTAATTTTAAGTAAATAGTGATTTTAAGTAATTTGAACTGAAACGATGATATGCTCCCGGAAGATTAGCAAATGAGATTGCGCCAGATATCATCGTAACAGTAGAGCGAGCGAGAAGCAGCATCAGCCGGTGGTTTACCGCCTGCTCAAAGCAGGTCGGCTGTTAAATAGGAAAATGGCAGAATCAGGAGACTATACCAACAGTTAAGTGTCGAGATTTTGGCATTTCCCCGTGTTGTGTTGCACGATGGGTCTTGTTTTTCCAACAGCCATTTCACCGACAATTTAAGATGGCATGATTTATATCTAGGTCGGTCTGTTTAAGATTAGCATTTGTTAGTGTTTAAGGTTGGTGAAGTAACTGCTGGTAAACTGGGCCGAAGCTGTGTTTATGCTGTGATGCGTGTGGCACAGAACGTGTACTACTGCGAGGGCCTCATGGGTATGGCTTGACTGGGATGATGTTTGGTTATGCGTGATGCGTGTTCGTGGCTGGTTTGATTTTTTTATTTTTTTTATTTATGCGTTTATTTATTGTGGTGACCCACCTTTTCAAACCTTAATGCGTGGAGATTTGGTGCTTTGTGTTTGTCTCGCTATGTTGCTGGAAGAAGTTGTCCAGGCGGGCTAGGCCATAGAAAGCTGTCAGTGCTATTGCCCAGAATAATCTGTCGTCTGGATTGTTAAGATTCAGGTCTGTTTTTAGTGAATGTAGGTGATGTCTTGTAATATGTGATTTTTGTTTGACGGGTTTACGAATGTGATTTTTGTCAATAGTTTTTAACAGCTGACTGACTAAAGGGTCATTGCGAGTTTCATGCCAATCAAAATGGTTCATTCTATGGTGATGTTTTAATGCTGATAGGTAGGATAATATTGTTGGGGGTGCAATCCTGTTTGCATGTAAGAAATCAACTTGATCAGATGCTCTTTGGAAATAGGTCATATATTACACTGTGCATTGGTCTAATTGGTTTTGATTACTAGTGTTACATATTGTTTGATTACAGATTTGTATGTTCAATTTGTTTTCATGTCCAGACCTAGTATTTATGCTGCCTGCTGGTCCAGTGGTAGAGGAGGTAGGTGCTTGTATGTCTGCTGTATCATGGAGAAAGTTATTGCCTTTTATTGGGTTAGTTATGGAATTATAGAAATTAGGTTAGAATATTTTGATGGTATAAGTGGTTTAAATAGCATGTGTATTTGTGTTTGATATATTTGTGCAATAATATCGTTGATTTCTGCTTGTCTGCAAAAGTTATTGTATACTGCTTCAGCATTGGCCTGGTTATCTGTCCAAATAATAAAGTGTTTTTGAGTTCATATAGGTGAAAATGTTAGTATGGTAATAAGTGTAGTTAGAAGCTCTTGCTCCTGAATGCTATGTTAAGACAGGTCCAGATCTTGAGACCAGTTAAATGTCATGAAGTATAATTTGAATGTGTCACCACCTTCAAGATTTGAGGCATCAGTGAATAAATTTTGTGTTGTAGAACCTAATCATATTTAATCCTTCATAAGGTGTGTACTTGACAGTTAGAAAGTACAGCCTTCTACCACCTAATGTCTGACTTTATAGAAACATTAATTTTTATATGATGTTTAGAACCTTGTATTGTATTAAGTGCTCTAATAAACTGTTGTATAAATGGTTGTTCCTAGTAAATAACCTGGCTAGTTTATATTAGTAAGCCAATTAGAAACTGAAGTTTTTTTTTAAGACACCAGTGTTTGTTTGACCATTGTTCTAATATGCTAATCAGTTTTTGTTTTTTGGTTAATGGAATCATGGCTGAGAATGTTTGTGTACTGAGCTGTATACCAAGAAATATTGTTGCAGTACTGGGTTCTTCTAGCTTAGAAACTAGTCTAGCTCTTGCTTTGCACTCAATCCTGATATAATAAAGAAATTATCAACATAGTGAATAATCATTTGTATGCATTGTTGATTTGCAACCTATGCAAGTATGTTTATTAATCTACAAAATATTTCTCCAGATACTTGATTATTAAGGGCCAAAGCTTTGTCAAAATACAGTAAACTCTGGTAGTTTATTTCTTGTAGCACTTGGTCAACAAAGTATACTAAAAGAATTTTATAAGCATTTTTAATATCAATTTTTGATAGCAGACAACCTTTACTATAATATGTAATCTAGTGAATTGCATGACTAATATTTTCATATTGTGTAAGAAACTCAATCTTATTAATTTCATTATTAATGTTTGCACCAAATAGGGCAAAGAGGAGTAATATTACATAATATGCCTTGGAATTTGTATCTTTCTTTTTTACAAAACCACAAAGATTTAACAAGCTGAATAGTGTTCTGAGACTAAGCTACATATTTGACCTTGTATTATCTTTTCTTTTATATATTTGATAAATGACTGAGGGTCTATTTCTATTAATTTTAGATTTTTCTAAATTAATGTTACTTTTTGGCCTATAAAGTTGAACCTAAACCCATTCTTGAGATCATTTAGTAAGTGTAAAATGAAGGTCAATTAAGAGTTGTCAAATATTTGAATACTTCTATATTGATTGATTTTTTTTTTTAAGAGTAAGGCCTGGCCTCAGTCTTTATTGAATGATTTGGTATTATATTAATTAAACTATTTTATATAAATTATTACAGAGACCTATAGCTAAAACTAATTTATTCTCAGCCCAAAACTCTACTAGAGTAGGCTATTAGATCCTTTTAGATTTAGTGTTGTAATATAGAAGGTAGATATATTTGTAATATGAAAAATGGTTGCTCATTTTTCATATTTACTTATAGCTATTTGATCTGTAGTTGGGTATTCAGATGCTGTAACAGTAAGTGGATTCTTTAGTAAGCTATTTGATGCATTGTTTTATATCTTTCTGTTTATATTTGTTTGTATATATTGTTTGATATTTTGTAAAATAGATTAGTAAATAAATATGAAGTAATATTGTAGTCTGTAAACATGTTAACAAAAATAAAACTTTGTAATTTGAGAAGAAGTTGTTTGACATTTTGTGTTTGAGTAAACTGCTGCAATAAAGTAGATGTATTGCTGCTTTCAAGCTTGTGTTTTGTACAAAACCTGTATATAGTATGTTGAATTAGTTGGTTAAGAGAAATAGAGTTTGCTATGCATTTTAGTCAGTATAAATTGTCTTCTATATATAATGTGCAGCAATTGCAGATAGGATTAGTATATGTTTTAGATTTTTTATAGTGTAGATTTAGAAGTGTGGATAAATTATTTAGTAAAAACTTAATTTTGAAGCTTTTAATTGAGAATACTTCAGATAAGTATTGCAAGTATTAGGTTTGTTGTTATAGTCAATGAATTGATGTATTAGATTCCAATTAGTACTTTGGCATATAATATTCCAATTTCTAGTCTTGTTAGAGCATGCCATTTTGCAGTATTAGTTATATTTTGTAAATGTTAAATAAAATAATGAGTTTTATTTTTTATTAGTGTTTCATTCTAGATAAGATAGAAGTTGTTATTGTTGAGAGCATAAGAAAGGATATGAAGTTTATATTGTTGCACTTTGGTAAAAAAATGTGTTGTTCTATTATAAAGAAAATAGTTATCAAAGTTCTTAATATAGAAGCATTTAATTTTAAGATGTTTGTAAAGGATTATTGTTAAAATTAAAAATTTAAGTGACCAGTAATTGTGTTTTTGTAAACTAAGAATATAATTTAATATTAGTATAAGAAGTGAGTTAATATAATTAATTGTGGGTTTGTGAGTCATCAAAACAATTATTTGACAGTGTTGTAAAGTAGTAGTCAGTATTGTTATAATGTCAATAAGTTATGCTCAAATAATAAAAGACCAGTATGTAATTTAAGAAAAAAATATAATGTTGGTTAATGTTAGAGTCTAGAAAAATTAGGCCTGTAAGTGTAGTGTATTTGGCTGGGGTATAGTTGTATAAAGGTATAGTTGAAGTTTTTTAGCTTAAGAATTAATTGTTGTAAAGTGCAGCAACTGTGTATTAGCAGTATTTAGTATAATAATTGGTATAAAAAGTTGTTTAATGAAATTGATATAGTTGATAATAAGAATTATTTTGTAGTGCTAAAGTAACATTTGAGTGTAATGTTGGTAATTTGTTTAATAGCATAGTAGTTTTTGGTTTGCAAAATATAATGATATTATGTTAGGTTATTGATGTCTGTATAGAGAAATTTTGAGCTAGATACTTTAATAGCAATGCATTGGAATATTTTGAGTATAATTATACATTTCTGACTAGTAGCAATACAAGTATGTTTGCAGTTTAAATATTTTGATAATGGGGGGTATAAATGATAGTGTTTGATATATATTGTATTATTTGAATTAGTAATTTTTTGTATTTTTTCTATAATTTGAGTATTGTTAATTTTTTAAAAAATCTATATATTTCTTGTTTATGTTATAAAGTTTGTAGTAAATAGGTTGAAGGTAATAGTAGAGATGAATGATGTTGTGAATGTATAGAATGTATTATGTAGTTTATGTAACTATTTTGGAATTCTATTTCTAGGTATTTTAAGTATTTTATATGTGATGCATTGCTATAAAAGTAGTTGTGTATTTATCTAATTAGTAAGTTGTTCAATAGCATATATGTTCACTTTGTTAGTTAGTAATTTGATATATATTGGTTTGTTGCAAAATTTTATCAGTGTGTTAATTAGAGTGCTTTTATAATAGTTGGTATAGGCTAGAGATTAGGAAAATTGCAAATCTGAATATTGAGCTGATGTGCTATTTTGATTGTTTGAGCTGTAAGTGTATTATGAAACTTAGTAGATAATATATAATTAGATAAAAGCAAGATATTGTTAGATAAAAATGTAGCATTTTGAAGATGTATTATAATTTTAATAGATAGAACTGTTAAAGAATTGTTTAGTTATATATGAAGTAATGAAATATAGTTTTGTATTTATATATCTGATAAACTATGAAGATTGTAATTTGATGATGGAATATAGTTAAGTTTGGTATAATTAAAGTGAGTTCAGCTTTGTGTTTTGCAACTTGCATATAGAAATTAGTTATTTCTTGTATTGTAGATTAGTGCATAAATGTGTTCATAGTCCTGTAAGAAAAGTGAAGTACACACTATATTAATTATATAGTTTGTTTGTTTTTTAGTAATCTTTTTGTTTTTTATAGTATTGATAAGATTGGTAGCTTCAATAGTAATTTAGTTATAGATGACCTTATAGTAGTTCAGAAGTGTAAACTAGCAACCAAAATAGCAGAAAGTATGCTTTAGAAGTATGTATATATAATTGTATTGACAAAGTTAATTATAGGATTTGGATCTTTGATTTGATTTGTTGCTAAGATTGATTTGGTAGAATTGACAGTAATATTGGCCATGTTATAAAAAGATTCAGCCAATTTCACTATTTGTTAAAGAATATATTTGTTATAAGCTAGCTATAAGGTATTATTCATATAGGTAAGTAGTGAAATATGATATATAAATAGGTGTTTAGTCTAAGTGAATATTGATGACAATGCCATAATCATAGAATTTGGAATGAATAAAGTTATTAGTAGATCATAATAGATATGCTAGAGCAATGGTATGATTGTTTTTCTTGATCTATACTATCTTGCATCTGATAGCTAGATGTAGAACTAAGATTTGTAATAACTGAATTATATTAGTTGTTTTGAATATTAACTATAAGTTGTAATATGTTTTGAGAAATTTTGTTTAGTTTAATGAATGTTACAAAAATAGAATATGTACAGAGTTATATGCCTTGCTCATATCCTAAGCAAGAAGCCAGATTTCTTTATTTTGTGTTTGTATTTCTTGAAGTATATTTGTAAGAATTTAAATAGGTTGTATAGTAGACAAGTATAATAGTGCAAAAAATTATTAGATCAAGAATAGAATATTTAGACATTATTTTAATAAATTTGTTAGTAATGATTTTAGTAAAAATTTTCTGTGTATGCTCAAAAAGAGTTATAAATTTGGTGTAATTAAGTTGGCCTATAAAGATAGATTTTTTGGATATTAGATATATTTTGCTTTGTTTTCAAGTAGTTGGTATTTTTGTAGTATTTAAACATTTGTTAAACAGAATTGTAAGAAGTTTAATAATATGTGAATAAGCATGTTTGAGCATTTTATTGGAAATGAGTATAGGTCTTGTTGCTTTTTTGTTTGGTAATAGGTTAATTGTATTAATTATTTTCTGTTAGGTTATAGAGACTGTTAGTGTATTGTACAATAAAAGAAACATGTTGGTTTTGGAAGTATATTTACTTTTTTATTGTTCTCAGAGAGCAAATTGTGTGGGTTATATTTAGTCCAGTTTGCAAAGTAGTTTTTAATGTGTTGACAGATTTTTTTGGCTTTGTAATTATAGAATCTTGAAGTTTTATATTATCAAATAGTACAGAATTTGTGTAATAATTAATTATACTGTTAATCAGAGTTGTTTTATTTGAAATAAAATTGTTATAATGTGTTTAAATATGTTATGTAATTTGTTCAAGAATATTTGTTTGTTTTCTAAATCATGAATATGATATAGTGTTTTGCAATAATTTTTATTGTATTGATAGTGATAAAGAGTTGGTTGTGATTAATATTAGTTATAGTAAAAGGTATAATAAGTAGGTTTATAAAAAGTTGTATAGTTTGTATTTTTTAGTTGATAGTATTGATTGTTGCAATATTAGTTGAGTGTAACTATATACTAATACATTTGTTACTATATATGTATATTAAGCAGAATTTTTGAATAACTAACTTTTATTACTTATATTGTTCTTTTCTTTTATATTGTTCTTTTCTTTTATATCTTTCAAATTCTAAGACTACATTTGTTATGCATATGACTAATTAATTTATTTAACTTTAACCTTATTTGATTAATCATATATTAATTACATTATTAATTACTAATGCACGATTAAGATTATGATCATGATTGTATCACATAAGCATGATAAGTATTATTTGCTCTTCTTTATATTACCTTCTAAGTATGCACTAATTATCTGATTTGATCATCATTCTCTGCATATCATTGTTATTATTATTATTGAAGTTATTACTGCTTAATTAATTATTATTATACAAATCTAACTAGTTATATTTTCCTATACTTAAATTAAAACTTCTATCTTTTTTCCTTTCTATATTTTTACTTTTTAATTCAAACCTCTCAACTATTTTCATTACATTTTTCAAGTTTGATAGTTGTTTTCATGTTGCTTTATAAAGGAGGTATCCTTTCTATTTAACCAAGTATTGTGGTTTTGATAATAAATTTATTTGTCTAATACTTCCTCAACTTTGAATTCAGGTTCTGAATTCGAATTTGTGAAAAATTCTGAGAGCAGTAGTATCTTCTTTCTTTCTTCAAATTTATTCAGTAAGTAATGTTTTAATAAAGATACATGGAACAATGAACGTATTTTTATATTTAGAGGCAAAGACAACTTATATACTATTGCTAATGCTTTATTCTTTACTTTATAAGATTCAATAAATCTTGAAGTAAACTTTTGTGAAACTCTTTTTAAGTTTACTGCTAGTAAAAGGTTTTGCATTAAAAGATAACCTGTTCTTTTTTCTTAATCTCTAAGTCCTCATGGCTCTTATTGTAATATTTTGCTTGTTTTTCTTAAGCTAAAATTAAGGCATCCTTTACTATTTACATTGTTACTAACCAATATTCATATAATTCTTGAGCCATCTTTACTTTTGCATTTCTTGACATTTTTGCTATTAAGCTGCTAAGAGTTAAAGGTTGGTTATTGTAATCAAGTTGAATAGGATAAATTCTGTTGATAATTGTTAGGCATTATTATATGCAAATTCTGCAGCTGATAACAGCTGGTCCCAATTATCTTGGCAATAATTAACAAAAATTTGTAACATATCCTTCAATATTTTATTAATCCATTCTGTTTGCCTATCCATTTGTAGATGTGTTGCTAAAGACATGTGTAGCTTGGTGTCTAATAATTTAAATAGCTTCTTCCAAAATTTGCTTACAAATTTGGGATTTCTATCAGATACTATACCATATGACAACTCATAATTTTTAAAAATATTGTAAAAATACAACTTTGCAACCTTTGGTGCTATAATTGTTGAATGAGTTAGAATGAAATGTGCTTTTTTATTAAACCTATTTACCATCACCATTATAGTATTATGCTCTTTTTTGGTAAGTAGTAAATGAGTTATAAAATTTATTAAAACTTGTTTCCAAGGTTGCTTGGAAAATCTAATAGTTGTAATAAACCAGTAGATGCTTGATTAGATAGTATATTTTATTAACACTCTTTACAGTTATTTATATACTTTTTTACATCTCTTCTCATTTCCTTTCAATAGTATAGTTATTGTAAACCATTATATATATAATTTACATCAGAATGTTCATTTAAATCATAATGTTCATGTATTATTGTCACTTTTAACCTTGATATATAACTTAAACATAGCTGTAGGTTTTTCAAATCTTTCACCAAATAATGTAATCCATTATCTTCCAGTTTATACCATCATATTTGATGTTTTAAACACTTAGCATAGTTACAATTTTTATCTGTTAATGCCCTTATTATTTGTGCCAAATATTTATCTTTTATATAATATTCTTTAATTGTTTTATAAAATTTAGAATCAACCTTAATTGTTGAGATTATATTGGCTTCTGGCTTTCATGATAATTCATTAGCAACTAAATTTGTTTTTCTGGTCCTATATTTTATTTTAAAATCATATGACTGTAATGTTTTGACCTATTTGGCTTGTCTGTACAATAACTTTGCTTGGGTATTTATATATTCAAGTGATATGTGGTTTGTAATAATTGTAAATAGTTGACCTTTTAGGTAGACTTTTCATACTTTTAGTATATGAATTATCTCTAATAGTTCTTTTTCATAAATAGGATAATTCATTTTAGCAGATGTTATTTTTCTTGATTCATATGCTATTGGTTGTTCTTAATTTTCTTGGTTTTGGCTCAACATGATGCCTATAGCAAAATTAAAGATGTCAGTTATGACTATAAATGTTTTCTCAGAATCAAGTATAGCTAATACCAAGGCACTAACAAATGCATTTTTTAAATTTTTGAATGCTTTATTTTGTTTAACTTCCTATTCATATAGTTGATTTTTATATAAAAAAGTTGTAAAAGAAGCAGCTATTTTAAAGCTACAGAGTATAAATTTCTGATAATAATTTACTAAAACCTAAAAATAAATAAAGATTATATATATTTTAAGGTGCATTTTATGTTTTAATCGTTTCTATTTTCTTTGGATCTGTTATAATTACTTTTGAAAACACTATATAACCCAAAAATTCTATACTAGTATTTCAAAATTTAACTTATTAATTTTTCCATGTAATTGATTTTTTCAAAGTATCTTTAATACTTAACTCATATGTTTCACATGATCTTGTGATTTGCTGTAAACTAAAATGTTATCAAAATAAATTATTACAAATTTATTTAAAAAGTTACAGAAGACATTATTCATTAAATGCATAAAAGAAACTGATGCATTTGTCAAACTAAATGGCATTACAAGAAATTCATAATGATCATAACACATATGAAATGCTGTTTTGGGAACATTATCTTCTTTGATACATATTTGATAATACCCAGAACACAAATTAATTTTACTAAAAATTTTAGCACTAATAAGTTGATCCAATAGATTATCTACACAAGAAAGAGGATATTAGTTTTTAAATTTAATTTATTTAACACTCTATAATTTATATACATATGAAAAGAACCTTTCTTTTTTGTTATAAAAAGTACTAGGGTTCTGTAAAGGAAAGAACTTAGATGCATTATTCCTTTTTTTATATTATCTTCTAATTGTTTTCTTAATTTTTTCAACTCATAAAATGACAATCTATAAATAGGACTGAATGGAGGTGCCACACCTTTTTGAAAGAGGATTTTATGATCTACATTTTATCTCGAAGGTAAATTATTTGGTAATTCTTCTGAAAAAACATCTTGGTATTTGATCACCACTGCCTTTAAAAATTTAAAAATGTTTGATTTCATATTACTTTGTATTTTTGATGTATTTGAGTCTAATACTACAAACAACTCTACATCATTTATAACATTCTTTACTAATTGTAATCATGAAATTGTTGTTGTAGAAAAGTTTACTTATTTACCACTTGCTCTGACACTTATCCTATAGGCTTTTTGGTGTTGACATATTGAAAGTTTATTTGTTCTTCAGTTAATTCTCAAATTATTATTATACAATCATAGTTTCTCTAAAATTGTATTATACTTCTGTAATAGTAGAACCTTTATTTAGGATCTACTTTCTTTCTAGGAATACATTTGGATTTTTATACCTGATATGTAACCATGCAATTGACAAGGTGTTTCATTAGCCTATTCTAATATACTTTTTTCAAAATCTTTGTTAACTATTAAGTGATATGCTTTTACAAATTGTAAGTTAATAAAATCTTTAGATGCTTTTAAATCTATCAAGATAAGAGCTTTCTTTTCACAAATCTTTTTTTTAACTTATAAGATTCTTTCTTTTTTTCATTTCCAAACTCTGGTTCTATTGAACTGACTTGTTTAATATTAGTATTTAAGCTTGATGAAGGTTCAGAGTTCAGACTGGCATTATTAGGGCATGTTTTGGCTATGTGTTCTTTTTGTTTATATTTGAAATATAAACCCTTTTGTTTATACTTCTTTTTTTTACATGTCTTGTATTTTTAATGAATTTATTTTTGTTTTTTTGAATTTTTTTATTTTTCTTTTGTCAAATCTATTGGGGCCACACCCATATTTTTTGAATCAACTGTTTTTGGAGCATTATTTTTAAGTTCTTCAGAAACTTGGTGTTTAACACTATACATTGTCATATTATATTTCAACACCAAGCAAATTGCTTTCTTTAAATCTTTTGGTAACTGATAACTAACTCTTTGGTGGCTGCTTTTAACTTTTCTATAAAATAGAGAATCTTATTAGCTTCATCTATACTTTTCACTTGTCCAAGAATGTTTTTGAACCTTGAGGCATATCCTTGTACTATCAAGATTTGTTTTATATTTCTTAATTGTTATCTTAAATATTGTTAATATTGTAAAGGTTGAAACACTGGTTTCATTTCTTTAGAAAAATCATTTCAACTGGCAAACAGCATCTGGTTATTATGAGCTTGAACTTTATTAAAATACTACTAAAGTGCTATATCCTTTAATCTGATTATTATATACTATAAGCATTCTTTATCTTCAATCTTATGCATCTTATACAGTAAATTAACTTGAAGTAACCAAGTTATAACATTTTCATCTTGTTTGTTATGAAATACTGGCAACTGGACCAACAACCTTTTTGTATGTTAAAGTTTATAAATATAAGTTATACCTTCTGTTGTTGTTTGTGCCTAGGCATTTTGTTGATAAAAGATTTTAGCAAGCTGTATATTGAAAGTTTTTGGCTTCTAATAAATGCTTCAACAAATTCATTGAATTGTTATTTTGATATGATAACTGATATCTTAACAAATTTACAGAGTGATTACTAATAATAAGACTGTCTGCTACTACTAAATGTAACTGTATACTAATATGTTCATTAATATATATATATATTAAGCAAAATTTTTGAAAAGGTAACTTTTATTATTTATAGTATTCTTTTCTTTTATACTTTTCAAATTTTAATCTACTATTTAACTATAACTATATTTGTTATGCATATGACTAATTTATTTATTTATTTTTGACTTCACTTGATTAATTACATATTAATTATATTATTAATTACTATGCACAATTATAATCATAATTGTAATTGTATCATATAAGCATGATAAGTATTATTATCACTTCTTCAGATTACTACTAATTATGCACTAATTATCCAATTTGATTGCCATTTCTTGCATATTATTGTTATTATTGTTATTTAAGATGTTATAGCTTAATCGATTATCATTATGCAAACCTAATCTGTTATATTGAGTTAGTATTATAAGAAGTATGTTGAAGATTAATAAGAGTGTAAAGTATGCTGCCACAGATATTTAGTACAGAATGTGTTTTTGAAGCAGTAGATAAGAAGTTTTGAAATTGTTTTTAAGAGCAAAAGATAAAAGATATATGTATGTTTGTGGCAGTATGCACTGTAGATTGAATTTGATATTATAGTTAATTTGTTGTAAATGCAAAAGCTGCCATTTCAGTAAAAGAAAATAAAAGTTGATAGCTTTTTTGCTAAAATTGCTTCTATAGTTCATTGTTTATATAATTATATTTAAATGTTTTTATTTGTATTTTTTGTATTATTTGGCTAGTTTGATTTGTATTTAAAAATTGATATAAATAATATAGTGATCACTATCTGTAATTTCAGTTGGATTAATAATATTAAAAATTGTAAATATATATAAAATTTGTTGTAAGACCCAAATTTCATCAATTGACTAAAGAGGTTATTACATATTCAGGTCAGAGTATTGGAATAATAAGTGTATAATAAAGAAATAATATTGTATGATAGAAGATATTTATATAAAATAGATCATGATGGCCTGTTAAGGTTTTAGTTAAAGTTTCTTATAATTAATAATATAATGTTGAATTTTTGTGCTTGTGTAATTCAAATAATATGGTTTTGTGTTTGTTTGTTAACATTAGAATTGTTTAGTAGATATATAGATATAATTTAAAGATTGTTTTTATATAATAAGAAGAGGTCAATTGTAATAGCAGTATAATTAAGAGTTTGTATATTGTAAATATATATTATAAGTGATTGGTTAATAAAAACTATTGTTCCTATACTTGATTCTCTCGAGTGGTTTGAGTTAATAGTATTGTTATTTGATATAAAACATTTGTAGTTATTATTGTAAAGTGTAAGATAAGTATATTAAGATTGGGGTGGTGCTCATTTCACTGACAATCACCTCAACGACAGCCTATTTCACTAACAGTCAATTTGCCAACAAGTTTATTTCACTGACAGTTATTTCACTGACAGTCATCTTACCAACAAAGTAATTCTGGTCATTTTCGTTAGGGTCAGTTGGAATTAGAGTTAATGTTAATGCAACTTTAAAAAAATCTTGTCGTGAAATGGGCTGTCAGTGAAATAGTTGTCGGTGAAATAAACTTGT